ATCTATAGCTGCCAGTGAACAGTCCGGAATTTTAGCGGGGGACAGAGAGGGCAGACATTTGGGACGTGGGAGGAACTCGTGACTTAAATGGGGTCGTACAGATGGGGGGGGGCGAGAGTCAAGCTTTTGATTTCGCCGTGGTTCCATTTCCGTGTGGTCTTAGGCGTTTTGACTTTAAGTTCCAAACATAAAAACTTAGAAACATAATAAAAATCAGACCATTATTTAATGGAAAATTTCATAAAATACTGATACGAAATAGTACGCGGATTGTGCGCCCAGTTACCTCTTTCAAATCATACGCTGCTTAACAATCGCCATTCGCTGCATTTCCCCAGAGCTCCGCCCACTTTAAAAATAGTGCTAACATTGTGGCAGTGGTATCCTGAGTGTGCGAACGAGTTAGTATTTCAATTTTCGATTTTCGATGACAGCAGTAAGGCGAAAGTGCAGCATTTGAATACAGCTTACTTTATTAGCATTATATATAGTATCTAATCATTTGCTGGGAGCTTTTTGTATATATAAACCATTAATACATTATGTGGCATCTCTATTATCTATGTGACCTTGCCTTATATCATATGCACCCCTAGTCCGCAAATGCAGACGTTATAACTGCGCTTTGCTAATGTCAGGGTGCGGGTTTATCCTCACCCCCATTATACTGGGGTCTGCATCGGCTCGCACTACTAGACTACTAGTACTCCTACTACTAGTTACTATACTATAGTACTATAGCAAAGGATATATGCCGGAGTGAAGGTGGCGAACGGGTACCAGTCTACTATGCATATAGCCTCGTTGCGCCATCTATCGCACGCCATATGTACTACACTGATGTACACTGATGTACAGTCATGTCAACAAAAAAGTTAAACTCCGTTTTTTACAGCAAACAAAGCGCGCCGAGGAATTTTCGAGGCAACTTTCTAGGAAATGTCTAGCTACCTGGGTAGTCAAACCCGTCGTGCAATGGCCAGAACTGCTCAATTCAGCGATTGCGCCGCTTTTGCGTTTATAGTGGACCCGTTGAAGTTGCTATTCAATCAGTGCAGTGTAGTTGTGCTAGTGTGCCGCTACGCAGCGTTTTTCACGTTTCGTGCGATATCTGGGCTGCCGATCGTCTAGAGTTTGGTGTTTTACTGGAAATCCTCGCGTGAGCGTTCGACAACAGCAAGACAGGGGCCTGAACTCCGAGGACTGGTATTTATGCTGATAACACACACGTTAATACTAGTAACATTTGGCGCCCAACGTGGGGCCCCTGAATAGAGTAACAGCATGTCAAACGCGGAACAGGATGCCGCTGTTGGCGGTACAGGAACAGCAAGTCCTGCGCCCTGCTCTGTACAACCTACCATGGGCCTGCAACGTGTGGTGGAGACTCAGCTAGAACAGATCAAAATGCTAACGCAGCTGATGGAGAGACAGCTGCAGGTGCAGCCCGCGGTTCCGGAGTCGGTCACCCTCAAGGACTTTGTTATTGTGAGTAAAATTGGTGAGCTGGGTGACCCTAGCACCCTCTCATATGCGTCAGTACAGCATCAGCTTGACCGGGCCCGAGAGAGAGGGGTAACGGAGAAGGAATTAGTCCAGGGCGTTGTAAGGGCAACAGCGCCAAAGTTACAAGTCAAGGCCTATTTGGAGGGGCAAGGCGACATCGGCCTAATGGAGGTAATGGAAATTTTAGCCAGCCATTACCAAGTAGGGGACGGCCGGGAGCTCTACTAGAGCCTGTGCTCAGCGGTCCAAGGGACCAACGAATCACCCATCGACTTCATCCTGAGGGTGATGAGTATCCAGCAGAGAGTAATGGTGGCTGGCTACAACAAGGACCTAGTGGATGAGACCATGAGACATTCGCTGGTAACTGGGCTAAGAGAGAAATCCCTCAGATGTGAGATGAGGTCCTTACCACCGGGTGCCTCAGATTGTAACATTCTGGAGGTTGCAAAGAAAAGAGCCCTGTTGACAAAAGAGGTGCAGGCTAAACATAACAAAAGCGCGAAAGTATCCTCGATAAGTCAGGAGAACTTAGAAGGCTGGAAGAGAGAAGTGAAGGAGATGCTCAGAAAGGAGCTGAGTGAGATGAGACAGGAGGTGAAGAGTTGGAAGCCCCAGAGTCAGCAGAGGCAAGGTCAAAGGTAAGAAGTAAGAAGGAGGACCTTTGGCTGCCAGGGTTGCAGGGAAAAGCAGCAGAGGTGTAATCACTGTTTCAAGTGTGGCGGTACTGGCCACGTTGCTAAGGAATGCAGCTACCAGACGGGAAACGGACGGCCATCTGCTCTGGCGGGCACAGGACAGGTGGACCCCCAGTAAGACCCCGCAATTTTCATCGGCGACAGGGAGTAGCTAATGGAAAGGTGGCCAGGTTAGTAGGAAGAAAGTGTGTCGTCACCCTATACCTGGAAGGCAAGGAGTACCCAGTCCTGTGGAACACCGGAGCAGCCGTACCTATGATACACACCGAAATGCTAGAGAGGGAGTTCCCTAACTTACCTGTCCGGAGTATCGAGGAGGTGCTGGACACGCCATTGGAATTAACGTCTGCCTCTAGCCACAAGATACCATTTAAAGGATTAGTAAACATCAAAGTCGAAGCATCGTTTGATGGCGACCATTCGTGCGTGGTAGAGGTGCCGTTCCTAGTTGCCACCGGACCCCTGCCGGAACCCATTGTGGGTTTTAACGTCATGGAGGCTCTGAATGAGGGAGAGTCAGTTGTTGTGGGTGACAAGAGGAGAATTTTTAGAGGCCTTCCTCGGGGTGTGGTGAATCAAGTAGTAAATACAGCTGAGCAGTAGGACCCACCCATCGACCTAGCGCACCTAGACGAGGAGCAGCAGGGTATTGCTAAGCAGATGTTGAGGGAAGAGAGTTGTGCCTTCATGCGGGACGAGGAGGACTACGGACTACTGCCCGGGGCTGAGTCTGAAGATTAACGTGAAGGACGCCATCCCTGCACAGAAGAGTTATACGGGGATACCCCGGCCCATGTATGAGGAGGTGAAAAGATACCTGCAAGATCTGATTGAGAAGGGCTGGGTACGGAAATCTAAATCTGCTTACTCGTCGCCCCTTGTTTGCGTCAGAAAAAAGGACGGTACACTGAGATATGTGTCGACTACAGAGCTCTCAATCGGAAGACGATTCCAGACCGCCATCCCTTGCCAAGAGTGCAAGAGACATTAGAAGGACTCGTTGGTAATAGGTGGTTTTCAGCACTCGATTAGGGAAAGGCGTATCACCAAGGCTTTGTAGATCTTACCGCCTTCATCACCCCTCTGAGCCTACATAAATGGGTGAGAATCCCATATGGCCTGTCGAATGCACCACCCTGTTACCAAAGATTTATGGAGGAGATCCTGCACGAGGTGATACACAAAATCTGTGAGGTCTACCTGGACGATGTGCTGGTATACAGTCAGACATTCCAGGAGCATGTTGACCACCTCAGAACAGTACTACAGCTGTTTCAGCGGCATGGTGTTAAGATGAAACCAGCAAAGTGTTGCCTATTGCAGTCAGAAGTAAAGTACTTAAGCCGTATTGTGTCTGCGGAGGGATACAGGGCCGATGAAAAGGAAATTGCTGCCATGGTGAAGTTGAAGGAAAGAACCCCCCACACTGTCGGGGAGGTGAGAAAGGTGCTTGTACTGTTGGGTTACTACAGGAGATACTTGAGGGACTACTCCAAGAGGGCAAGGCCTTTGTTTGACCTCTTTACCAGGTATGCAGCCTAAGAACCATCAGAAAGAAAGCGTAAGCCGTCCAAGCCCAAGACAGGTTAGCTCCCGTCAAACGCAGCCATCAGTTGGCAGCCACACCACCAGGAGGTAGTGAGTAATTGCATTGACGAGTTGCATTATCCTCTGCACCTGTCATGGGCTACCCAGACTTTGAATTGCTATTCATCCTACACACAGATGCATCTAGTGAAGGACTTGGAGCGGTACTCTACCAACAACAGGGCGAGTCGCTGCAGGTGATTGGGTATGCCTCGAGGAGTCTGTCCCCAGCAGAGAAGAATTACCATCTACATTCTGGAAAACTGGAGTTCCTTGCGCTGAAGTGGGCCGTGACTGAACATTTTAGAAATTACCTGCTGCATGCAAAGTCCTTAACAGTCTTCACCGACAACAGCCCCTTGACGTATATACTGAGTACCGCAAAGCTTAACGCCACGGGTTGCCGCTGGGTTGCAGAGTTGGCAGAGTTTTACCCATTTAAGATTAAGTACCGCCCTGGAAAGAAAAACATAGATGCAGATGTGCTGTCCCGTAGGCCTGTGGACATGGCTGATTACATGACCAGATGCACCCAGTCAGTTTCTCCTCAGAACATCCAGGCTATTAGTAGTGGGGGATCGCATCTGTCCCGGCCATATCGACAGTTATGGTGGCACCAAGCATGGTCGGAAACCATGATGTAACAGTGGAGTGCAACTCTACCCAGAAGATTGACATCAAACAAGGTCAACAGAGTGGTCCAGCCATCAAGAACGTCCTGCAGTGGGTTTGACGGAAAATATATTCCTCAGCCAGGAAAAGGCAGAGTAGCGCCATCGCTGTGCACTACTAAGAGAGTGGGGGAAGTTAGAGGTAGATGATGGGGAACTGTACCGTAACAACCGCCCGCCAGCGCCATCTCTCGTGAAACAAAACTATAAACGGTACAACTACGTAACAATATACTAACCGCTAAAGTAACCTTAAACAGCATTCATACAAACTTACCCTAGCCTCTATTGGCTTAACAGTGTAAGCAGCACATGTCCAACTGTAAGCTGCTCTCCACGAACTCAGCAAAAGCTGTAAACACAAACTTCACTGCATTCAAATGCCCGCTGGGTCACTTCCGCCTCGCTCACAGACTTGCCTAGAGTATCACTTCGCAGATGGGTGATGATGGGTGCTATTGGTTAAAATTATACTAATATATTCGGTACAAATATATTTCAGGCACACTAAAACTTTTCCATCTAACTTAAACTTCCCGATGTATGTTGCATATATCTGTTAATGATAACACCCACCACTCAAAGAAAGTTATCTTTACTCTAACATACTTTTGCAACTCTAAGGCATCATGACAGCACAAAGCATCTATAGTGACAAGAATAAAGTAGCAAATTTTGTGTTCCACGCATAATGCGCTTGTATATATGTATCCTACAAACCTACCTCGATGAACACATAGCCGGAGAGTGCTGTGAGTGCCAGATTATAGACTATCAACAGCTTTGTCAATGAGAATGGAGGCCGATTCTTCATCCATTTCGAACCAAAGTACACCATGCCAAGGTACACGACGGTGAGAATGGCAATGGGTACTGCAGAACCGCATAATGGCCAGTCTCTAGTACGTGGATCTGAAACAAACAAGGGCATGCAGGGTATGCAAGATACTTTGTGAATTACGTGTGGCAAGGCCGAGCATTTTTGCTACATTTTTTATTTTAATTTTTAAATTTTTTATTGCATGTTTTAGTTAGATAACAAAAAACAATTTCTTGCACATGCAATTTGCAGGCTCGTTCTGTATCAATACAACATTTAGATGTATGCACAGCAATAGCACACAATAGCATTCAGGCTGCTAAATTGCCAATATATTCTCTCTTTAGAGGCTTTAGGTTGACCTGTGAGACACTGCTTCTTGCACGTATTATGTACTTAGTGAGAAAAGTCTACAATTATGCACTTTTTGAGTGTACACTGTATATTATCACTCAACCAAGATACATTGCATGTGTGGCACATCAATATTTTACTAAATATAATAACTAATCAAATCACTCACCAGAAGTCTCGTGAAATTTGCGGTAGCCTGCAAGGATGGAGGATGCCATAATCTATACAGCTCCACCTGTTACAACACAATTGTTACCTATTACTGCTTACCTTGGGCTTGGGGTAAAGGTGCACTATGGAATCAGATTATATGACACAGAGCATCCAGGGCTGCCAGCATTGAGATAGAGTTGAGAGTGGGATTATGCGAGGGAGCAAAGTTACCGAGGGGGGATATGTGTGTGAGGGGGGCACCCCCTCCCACACCAGGGAGCTTTTGCATTTTTTAGCTTGAAATTAATCATTTTGGTGTATACTTATGTGAGTTTTGAAACTTACACATGTATGTAATGCAATACACTGTAGTTCTGCTTTTAGATAGATTAGGTATATGTTATCTCCACTATAGGGATAACTTGGCTGTGGTTACATTATGTTGGGTTTTTCGCGCTGTCACGTGACTTTATATTCACTTGAATATTGACTCGAAAGGGGGGCATAGAGTAGCCATATTGTGGAAGGATGGCGTTGTTGATTGTTGTGTTTTTTTTAAATCGGCTTAATCCTCAGTCGTAATTCTTTGGCTAATGTGCTGCAATATTGAATTGAGTTTATGACACCTTTATAAAGATATACTTCGTCGCACTGTTGGTCCGGGTACGCATGCACGCTACGTGGCCGAATGATTTTTTTATCGAATGTACTCAACACATTCGCGTAAAGAATAAAGCCACAATTAGTCAACCCTACATCTGCTATGTTGGCGTAAAGTTTTGTTATACGCATGCGCACCACAGTATATATATACAATATAAATGGCTCAAAACAGCACATCACTATAGATCCTGCTTGGAATCGTATTTATATTACCTCTACTGTTCGGTCCCTTATTCTGCTTATAAGATGACAGTCAAATTCAATCTGTGTAAAAATGACTTATGTTATGGTTCTTGCATGGTATATGACATCCTAAACTAGCTATACACCAGTAATTGCAGTTTTGTGTTAATATGAGTATACTCGTTTTTATTTTTCAAGTTTCCTCTTTCAGCTTCTTAGGCGAAACTCACTTGCATAAAACTGTTCTCATTAGCAAGTAAGGACGGGATCTACAACTGTTCAGCGAATTGAAATGCACTAGAGTATACTTCGTTTTTTATCTGTTTGTTTCTGTATGCGTGAGAATTAGCAGACCCGGAGTGAGAGCGTAAGATTAACCTCAATTGCGAAACCTCAGTCTCACGCCGAATGCGTGAGAGTTGGCAGCCCTGTGTAGCAGCCATGTATCTGCATGGCTAAGCCTTTGGTACTGCACTTGAGGACGTCCCCACCTGATTGGATCTAAGCAATATATATTGCAACATTTGCAGTTTGGATTGCACATCTATGATCTCTGCCAATCAAGCTAAAAAAATCCATGTATACCGGTAATCGTGATTATTCCTAAATATATATATCCTTCCTGCTACATCATTTATATATATGGCTAATGTTTCTTACTTCCCTACTTCGAGTTGTAGCTTGGTAAGCTGAGACTATCCACACTAGAGCCCTCGTAGTGGCCGCTGCCACAGCAAAGTATGGAACAGCTTAGCTCTAAAACTATAGCCCTTCTCTCTGCCCTGCAGGACACTCTGCCCTGTAGCAGAGCGACGGGCTATAGTTCTAGAGCTAGGACCAGCTCTACTAGTGCTATAGACTATAATATAGTCGTCTTTTGTTGTGGCCGCGGCAACGGTCCGTAGTGAGCTTGACTCTTCGGTAAACCCAACCCATGTGACGAGTTTACCTGCCTGGGGCGATCCATTTCGTTGTGCTGGTTTTCGCTGCTTACTACATTCGCGTACTAGATATGAAAACGCACACATCACTGGATCAGTGAATGCATTTTCACGTGCTTTTACTACGCAGATATTACTAAATTTTATGTGGTTCATCTGAGAAAAATGTACCCGAGCCTATCTATATATCGTTTTGTGACCACGCAGTTTTTGGCACAAAGCGCGGAAACGCGTAAATAATGCTTTGTCGTTTATGTAACCTGTTTTGTTGCAAATATGAAGATATAGGGTTAACGTACTTTGCAACGGGTAACCACACGTACTGCCATATATAGAATGTCGCACTGCACATAGAATACTATATTATTGTGTATATATCGTTTGTTTGTGTCCATGCGATATATTTGCGCAGAACGTGTATAGTCATAGTTGCGTAGTGTATGTTGCGTGCGTGCGTGTGCACGTACACGTGCGTGCGTGCATGGGCACGTACACGTGCGTGCGTGCGTGTGAATGTACGAACATGTACTTGCATGCGTGTGCACGCGCACGTGCGTGCGTGCGTGTGCACGTACGCAGAATACATGTACATATACGTACTGAACCGAGAGCGCACGCCGCACTCGAGATTTCACCGATTTTTGTCCCAAATGACCCGGTGACCTGTGACGTCACACAACCCCTTGGCTAACTACGAAGTAACTATAAAGATATAGGGTTAACGTACTTTTTGCAACGAGTAACCACACGTACTATATATTTTTTTTAAATATTACTATTACTTATATATTTTATATATTTGCACAGAACGCGTATAGCCATAGATATCAAATAGAAGATATCACAGCCATGTATTCTATCAGCAGCTAATAATACCTAGGTATTATTAGCTCTTCATTCTCTATCTATGGTATAACACTTTGTCGTTTTGCCATTACCTGTTTTTTACAAGTGAAGTACGTAATGGCATATGCCCTTACAGGCATTAATGGCATTACAGGGGGCTCGTTTACATCAGAATTTGGAGCTTTGGAGCCAGCCAACTGAATTGGTTTGGGTACTGCATGAATGTACGTAGCAACCTATATTGAAAGGTGGCGGTATTTACCGTATCCGGACAACTACCCACTGGACAATTACCCACCCGGACAATTACCCACCAGGACAATTACCCATCCGGACAATTACCCACCAGGACAATTACCCACCAGGGCAATTACCCCCACCCCCGCACGATTATCCTAGCCCCCCCCCCACACACACACACCGTACAGTAATGATGATTCATCTAACGGACCAACTTCATGATTTCATAATTTCAACTTCAACATTCGCTGATACTGCCGATATTTTGACTTATTTGCGACATTTTCCGATACCCGATATAAGAGTGTTTCACGTGACGTCATAGATCAGGTCACGTGTATTTGTTATGTGTCATGGTTGGCAGAAGCGAAGCGTGCTGCTTGACATTTACAGATGATCGTGCGTGCGTGCGTGCGTGCGCGTGTGCAGGTACACGTTCGTGCGTGCGTGCGTGTGGGCGTGTGCAGGTATACGTGTGTGCATGTGTGCGTGCGTGCGTACGTGCGTGTGTGTGCAGGTACACGTGCATGCATGGGCACGTAGACGTGCGTGCGTGCGTGCGCACGTACACGTGCGTGCATGCGTGCGTGCGTGCGTGTGCACGTACACGTGCGTGCATGAGTGTGTGCGTGCGTGTGCACGTATCGTAATAATCACGCATTTGCTTGCTGCCAACCGTTAAACTGCGCATGTGCGCATATGACGTCAATGTTTATCAACATGAAACACTCCTATTGAAGTTCATATCGGCAAGTATCGGCCTTCACCTGCGCATCAGCAGCGGGAGCGAAGCGCGCGCACATGCACACGTACATGTCTAGACATTTTCTGGGTCGCTTAATACAATGAATAACATCACATTTATTTTACGTGCTCTCCACGCGCCTGGCAGTCGCCGCGTCGCGTTATTCTTGTAGTGTTGTTCTTGTTATTCTTCAAGTAAATTTATTACGCGCTATTGCAAATTCGCGTAATGCAAACTCGCGTAAATCAAGAAACAGCAGCGACGCGACACCCACTTAATTACCTTTCCGTACATTAAGTAATACTTTGCCTACGCGACAGTGCTGGCGATACTCGCGCGAGCGTCGCTCCCGGCCTAATCGCTCGCATGCTGAGTCCATCTGTGCATCTTCACGCTCGCGTATCCTATTATAGGCGTTCGATTTATCGATTGCCTAAAATTGCAGTCTGCTCCCCTCAAGCTGTTGTTAAAATTCGGAATTTATTGAATACATCATTAGATGTATATATTGCGATATAATGGAAAATTATGGTTTTTCATAATGTACATTATCACTACCTGTATCACATAAAAACTAAAAATCTTGTATACATTCAGAGATGAAATGTGAAAACAATGATTTAAAACCTCATATTAGACAATTCAGTTATGATTTTGAAACTTTATTCACAATTCTATTCATTACACAAGCATTCAGAATGACCATTGTTTCATTTTTGGCCGCACTGTTTAAATTATTGTTATAACTATTCATAAGTGAAGAAGGAATGTACATATGCAAATATACAGTACTTCCACAGTGGCAGATTACATGACCTTTAAAAGCAAATTTATATATCACGCTGTGAAAATTGACAATTAAGTACGTATATTTTTTGCAGTAAACTAGTGATGTGTTTGTCATGTGGTCAAATTGCTGATAAATATCATCAATCCTACTCAAATATAAGCTGGAAAAAATGCAGATAGATGACCTTAGAATTAATGCGTCAAATTGCACCATTTTGCATCAAAATAAAAAAGATTTTCGGAGGGCATGCTCCCCCCCCCCACTTCACACAAGTATTAACACTTGTAATAAATTCTGTTGATAATCAGTATTTCACTCACGTACACACACACGCACGCACACAGACACGCACGCACGCACACAGCCAGCCACATATACGCACACACGCACAAACAGTTACATAACATAACGTACATGGCCAAGAGCAAGATAATTTGGGTTACAACATTTCCGTCATTATAGGAGGGGTAGGGGCGACTCCCCTCCCGCGTCCCAATTATCGACGCCGCTGTTCTCTGAACACATGGGGTAGACATTTCTCTCTTTTCCAGACATACATTATGTATTGCAGCGGACAAAAATTTACGGAAGGGGGAATTTTGGGGGAAGGGGGAATTGTCCTGGCGGTTAATTGTCCTGGTGGGTAATTGTCCTGGTGGGTAAATGTCCTGGTG